ACGTCCGTAATTCACCTCCAACCAAATGACACGTCTGCTGTTTGGCAGATCATTGAAGACATCCCATAATAGCTGTCTGTAAAACTGCTGTGTAATCAAAGCAAAGCCCTATGAGACAGCTACTCTGAGTGTTTCTGATTTTCACCAAGGTGCAGACATTATTTCACTCGACAGTCTGTCATCATTTTTAAGATACAAGGGTGGATATAATGTACCTGACAACAGACATCCATCCATCCATCCATCCATCCATCCATCTTCTAACTAAATATCCCGGTTAGGGGTATGGAGAGCCTGGAGTCAGTCCCAAGCCGGCAACTGATATGCAATTTTAAAAGTGCAGTTTTCTGTGAATGTAAAGATGGGTATGACCCCCCCTCTGTGTGTGGAATGTTCACCTTGTGCTGTGTGTATATCGTCACAGTCCAAAGAAAACCGTGTATGTTTGCTATGAATGGAATGCGCCCATTCTCCTGTCCACTCACAGATTTGACGTATAATACTCCAATGACAAGATGCTTTCTGAAGTCATCTATTTTAATAGTATATTTTTGTACTAGTTAACATTTGTATTCATTATGGCCATTTGTATGGATTACTTTAAATCACTGTTTTTCTCTCTACACTACTGTTTATTTTTTTATGTTCTGTACTTCTGTGTATTTTTGTTTTCTTTTTTTATGCTTTTAAGCTACATTCTTGTACACTTCTTTCATTTCTGTACAGCACACTGAATGACCTCTGTGTATGATAATGTCCTATATAAATAAACTTAACTTGCCTTGCCCAATTTTAGCAATTTGCCATTGATATCTGCATAGCTAGCTAACTAGCGTCATTGTTAATTGTGAATTAAAAGCCAGATTAGTTTGTATCTTGTTGATGCTGACATATTTTTCTCACTAACAACAGCCCAGGTAAGTCCCATTAAAAGATGAAACCGCTCACTGACGGCCACGCGAGGATAGGCTTCTATTTGTGCTACTAAGGGTGTCTTGTTAGATTTAAGGTTTTTATTGATTTTTATTTCACCTACATGGATGTAGTGGGTGCAGAAGCAGAGAAAGGAAACTGCTGATTCCCCAGACAGGGCAATAAACAGGGCAGAAGGACAACAAAATTAAATAGCATGCTAACAAAATAAGTACTAAAAATGTAGAAACATATAAAAGTAAAGGTTAAAGTTATAGGAAAATATGAGAAAATAGGCTGCAGCTTATTCCAGTTTTTAATTGGTGGTGTTATTGATCCTAATGGCATTAATGCTGTTTTAGGTTTGTTTTGTAAAGCACTTTCAGAGAAAATGCATTTTTTTCCATGCTCCTAAAATAATGGATTTTTGGAGAAAAGTTCTTTTTTCCATTGTTTTTCATGTCCTGGTGTCCAGCAGAGGGTATACCCCTGCTGTATGCCAGTTTCTGCAAGACCCTGTCCAGGGTAAGTGGTCAGGAGATGGATGGGGGGTGAACAGACAATGAAACCACACATATTTTTCACGTAGTTACCTCAGACTTCAGTCGAGTCAGCGTTGGCATGTGAAATCATTCTTGAGACCAGAAGGGATTCTGATGGCAAAGACAGTGATAGTAAATATCCCCATGTAAAATGGGGGGGGGGCTGTAAAATATGTGAGTCACTGTGGATAAAAGCGTCTAGCGGCTAACGAGCATGATTATCATAAATAACAGCGGCGAAGGACCACAGCTTTAATGGCAGCAAGGCTGATCTGTCCCGTCTGCATGGGCTCCGTCTGCATGGGCGCCGTCTGCATGGGCTCCGTCTGCAAGGAATGCGGCTTGTGCTCCTATTGTGACCCCCCCAGCACCAATCGATACAGATCCAACGCAGAGGCTGTGTAAAGCAGAGAGATGCTCCCCAGCCACACTGGTGTTACTCAATGGCATCAAATGCTGCAGCTGTCCCTGATTGGAGCGACTCACTGACTGACTGACTGACGGTTTCTGGAGATTCTGGAGAGTGAGGGTCATGGACTTTTGATCCCAGGATGAAGGATTAGACCCTTCGCTGGTATGACAGCTCGATGTTTTTGCACTTGGGTTTTGGCGCTGGATCGTCTGCTGAAATTCAATGAGCTGTGATCCTGTTTTTGTGTTACCTTTAGCTCAGTAAATGTTCCACAGATCAAGATTTTGTTTCAACCAACCAGTTGAGTTCTCTGTGACTGTGACTCTTTATTCACAACTGGGTGGTTGAAACAAAATCTTGGTCTGGATTTGTACTTTCTGAACCTGACCTTTCCACCTCAGTTGGTCCTTCTCTACTGAAGCCTTGGAGAAGGAGACAGAGGTGGGTTTGTTTTCTCTGGGGTCCCACTTAAAAAGTCACTTCAGGCCCCCCCATCCTGCTAGTATAGTGAGTATTTGTGGCCAGCAGGGGGCTCCCCACTCCTTGGGGACACGTGGTTTGAGTGGTGATTAATACCACCGCTGGATTGTGTGAAGTGGTGCTGCAGCAAAAAACAGTACTTCAGCAAGGAGCAATGGGGGGGGAGGGGGTTTGGGGCACGAGCGTGACCAGGCACAGGGGGGGCCTCGTGACTCAGCATCACTGTGCTCCAAAAACTGCTCAGCCCAGACGTTTGTTTTTCAGCCAGAGATCCAACCAGGAGTCACTGGTCGTAATGGTTTATCGACTCGAGTCATCACGCACGCCTTTGTGGGGGGTGTCGTACGTGCATGTCCGGGGGGACGGGGTTGCTGCATGTTTAAGAAGCAGATGCCAGCTGAGATTCTGGGGGAGGAGGGGGTCGGCAAATAGTCCTGCAGATCAAACGGCAGATCAAGGGTAGAGTTCAGTTCGGCCTCATTAACGGTCTCAGGGCGCCCAGCTCATTAACTGCCCCGGATCGCATACAGAAGTGCCCTCACATATAGCAAACGCTACAGTGTTCACACTAAAATCCTCCCAAACACATTTGTTTTGGCTCAGAATGACACCCTATACTTTACATATGTGCTGCTATATATTATAAACAAAACAGAATTCAGAAAATAACCAGCCAATTTCTTTGTTATTATGTATTATTTAGTCTTGCTTCAAAAGCTACAGACTCCAGGGGAAATGAGGTAGTTGGTCAAGGTTTCATCACAGAGGGTGAATTTGCAACCACACAAAAAAATTACCATTCAAATACGAGTAGTACAGAATGCAGCCCATAATACACAGGCTTGGTCCTCCACCACCACAGCAAGCCCAGGAGAAGGACCGTTTATCAGCTATGATGAGGATAACCTAAGAACTTTTATATATATATATATATATATATATATATATATATATAGACAGACACACACACAACTGGAAACCTCTGAACTGCTGTAGACATTCTTGTGTTTAGCTATACTGATTCAGCAGCTGCACGTTTGGGTAAGTCCATCATTGTAGATCCCCCACCATGACCAGGAGATGATGAGAGAAACAAAGACCACGTTGGACAAAGGGAGATCCAACCCCCCCACTCCCCCCCCGCTACACTGAGGGCGTCTGGTCCCTATCACCAGAGATGTTTGTCTGCGGTTTGGTGTCCCCTATTCAGCAGAATAATGTACTTCTGCTCATTGTCAGGTACCTTCCCTGTTCACTGAGGACGCTGGAAATTCGTCAACACAGTAATGTATCTTCTTCCATATTATGGATGCAAAGTGCCTTCACCGTCAGACAGAAGTAATATCTGCAAACTCTCTCCCCATGCAAAATTAACAGGGTCGACTGACAACTACAGGCTCACTACATCAAACTCGTGAATTCAGAGATGTGCGCAATGCATAAATGTGTCAGTTTGGAAATAAAAAATTAATCCAACAATATTTGCCTCAAAGTTGTAGACAGGTTCAATACAAAATTTCTAAGATACAATTTCGCCTTCTGCTGGATCATTTTGTTTTAATGAAACACGGATATTACTGAACCATTTCACGACGTAGGCCTATTTCAAATAGAAACTCAGACCGGCACACCTTGTACGGATCAATAAATTCAACGTTACGGCACGTCTTTTGATATCTTTATTGGAATTCATTATTTAGTGCGTTATTAAATTTGAGCGGCGTCTCATTGTCTGCAGGGTCCTTTCTCGAAAAACAAAGCGAATAGAGCACAGTACATAAAAAGCGGTTAATAACATCAGTTATTTATTTATTACTTTTTAATTGGAAAAAATAAAACACGAATAGTCTGCCCAGATCGTTTCCTGAACGCCTTTTTAAATTTGTATCTTTAAACTCATTTTGCAGATCAGCCGCCAGCCATGATCAGAAGTATCACGTGACATTATTCATTTATATGTTTGATGATTCGGATTCCATTTGTTGAATGGAGTTATTGCCGTGGAGGTCAGACCACATTCATGCAGAGGTCTGAAAATAGATTATGACCACCGAAGCGGAAATTTCAGTATAACATTTCTATTAGCATACCAAAAGAAAGTTCAACTATTTCCAAACTATACATAACATGAACTAGGGATTAGAAATAATTGATGTACTGTATTAGTTAGGATATAGTACATCAACTGTAAAGTAATACAATTATTTTCATACAGATTGTTAAGGGAAAGTGGTTTACAACTGTATATGCACAGCACCTAAAGTTAGTATTGAGTTAACTAGGCTGATAAATCTATCATTCATACCCTAGCAAACAATACGTGTGCTGATGTGCATTTTCACACAGTAAGCGGGGAGGGGAGCGGGACGCCTTTTTTGCGCATTTCTGTGTTTCCACTCGGCTTGCACTTTGTACCTTTGGCCGCTTTTCCCGGGAGGGCAGACACGCCCGCGCTGACCAGCCTATGTCTGTCCTGGCGCCCCCACGTTACACAAGCACGCCCCCGCGTCCCAGACGATCTCCTGGCCTCGCCCCTCGGCAGCGGGCCCCGCCCACCCAGTGGCTCCGTTCCACTGTACCCCCTCCTCTCCGCTCGGCCCCGCCCTTCCTCTCCGCTCGGCCCCGCCCCGCTCGCTCGCTCCCAGAGCCCGTTGCCAGGGTTTCTGTGTACGAGCGGCCGGCGCGGAGACGCGCACTTCAATTCCAGCAGATTGCCAGACATGGCGGCGGATCCGAACCCGGAGTGGCTGTCTTGCCTCCCGTCTTCGTGGAGTTACGGGGTTAAACGGGACGGACGCGTCTTCTTCATCAAGTAAATATCAACTGGATACAAGCCTCGGATGCATTTGCCTCGAATTATTCAACGCGGGCCACTGAATACGGTTTTCACTTTTTTTTGTTCGTTTCTCACCAACAGTGAAGAAGCGAAGAGTACTACCTGGTTGCATCCAGTGAGTGGCGAGGCCGTGATCACCGGACACAGGAAAACGGCAGGTAAACGCGCCCGATGCGCCCCGGGTGCCCCGGAATCCACGTGCGCCGAGTCTTTGGCGTCAGGGGCAGCGCTGCTGCGGCGCATCGCCGCGTCTCCAAAGTGCCTAAGCAGCACTACGCGGCTCGCCGCTTTATTTACCAACATCAGTCCTTAAAAGTTACGTTTCGCTACAGTTTTGCCAGTTAAGTGTTTTGCGGCGTGTTTGAAGCCGATCCACACTCGCTCGCGCCCGTGCACGAGAGGAATCCGGGTGACGGGTTGTGTTTAACTAGTTGGTTAACTAGTCGAGTTGCCCCGTGGTTTTAGTGCACAGTTGAGCATGTGTATCAGCCTGCATAACTTGGCGGACATGCGGTGATGCTTGCGCAGAGTCCCGGGCAGATCGCCTGCAGACAATGCAGGCGTTAAAGCGCCTTGCAGGGGTGGGGGGGAGCGGGGGGTCGGGATAAATACTGCGGATCCCCCCTCCTCCGGCCCCGCAGCCCTCTGATCTGCGTCTCTCTCTGTCTCCTGCCTAGATCTACCGACGGGATGGGAGGAGGGCTTCACGTTTGAAGGAGCCCGCTGCTTCATCAAGTGAGTCAGCGCTCCAGGGACATTCCCAGTGTTGTTATTTGCCCCCCCCCCCCCTCAAGCCTCCCCTTGACCCCTCCCCCCACCCTCTCCCTTTGATTCGGAAAATTGTGGGTATTTCAAATGGCCTGGCTTTACACTGACTCTCCGACATTAATGTGTAACTTGACATGCTGGTGTGTGACTCTTTGTGGCTGTTTGCTAAACAGGCTCTACTCGTTGTGGCGGGGAGGCCTCAATCACTATGGGCGGGTGTCATTACACCTGTCAACCGCTCTATTTTCCACACGTTAACTCCGTTTCCAGTTTGCGTTTCTGTGGATCGGCGCCGATCACTGTCTGTCAGGAGATCTCACATCGTTTTCGAGCCCGTCTGTTGTCGAAGTTGCCCCTCCAAGTGCGGCCCGGACAGGGGTCTCGACCCAAGCTCATACCCGCGGGGTCGAGGCGCGTTCGCGCGCCGACATTCGACACCGCTGCAGCGTACCTTCAGAAAGCGCTCAAATTGTTTCTATGAAAGCGATCCATTGTGGTTAAAAGTATCTGGTTTGCGTCTGTGAGTCCCTCCGCTTCTGTGGGGTTTGTCAGTCGGCACAGCAGGTGGTTAAACTATTAACCTGCCCCGCTGTTTGTGCACGGTATCTGCCGGGTTAATCATTGCTAACCCGTGCTATTGTGACAGTTAATCCGCCTCGCTGTGTGGGTGTGGATGTCAGGGGTGGACTTGTTCCTTTTGTCAGACGAACGGCTGCCGCTTTTGCTGCCGCGAGACTTTCCGTTGCGTGGAAGCCGCAGTCGGCGGACGGATCCCGGCGTGCGAAGCGTCCAAAGCGCATCGGCCGCTGACGCGAACCGTGACCGTGGCGTGCTGAGGTCCGCAGGGTGGCGGCGGGTATAAGGTCTCGGGTGTTTGGCGAGGAGACCCCGTTACTAAGTGGGAGAGGGTGGGTGCTGACTTTCTCAGGGTTTAAGGTAGTAGTGTTGTGTTTTCGCACGGTCTCGTGGCTGAAGACCGTGGCTCGTGGCTGAACAACGCAGTGGCTTAGCTGGTAGAGATGTGGAATTCCGCTCCAGGCCGTGTGTGTGTGAGAGAGAGAGCGCCTGTGTGTTTTTTGTGAACATAGCTCTTTAAGTTTGCATGTACTCACCGAGTCTGTTTGAACACACAGCTCTTAAACTCTTCCCTGTGTGTGTGTGTGTGTGTGTGTGTGTGTGAGGCAGAGAGAGAGAGACGGATCAGAATGCTGATCGGTGTGTATCCTACTTGACACCCCGTGCTTCCTGGGATAAACTCTGGATGTCACTGATCCTAATCGGATGAATGGTCATTAAAAGCTGCGCAGAGTTTGCCCGTTTACACGGTGTAAAACCTGCTCTTCTGAAACCTGCTTTCGGAGAGGTATGAGACAGGCGCACAAGCCTGTAAATCACAGCGCGGCAGGCCGTCTCCCGCCTTGGCTGTAGCTGGGCTGGGACACCTGTCTGCCCTTGCACCCGGAACCTCACACCCTTGTTTTGTTACAAGGCACCTCACGTGACATTGGCAGCATGTTGGGTACTAGGTTTGCCGTGCACCTGAAATGCAGCCTTCCGGGCCCTGTGGCCCCTCGGGGATCCTGGGATGCTGCCTTGGCCCAATGACCACCCCCACCCCCATCCCTGCTCCTTTTCTCCACTGTGCTTAGCGTGAGGCATGTTCAAATCAGAAACGACAGGGACTTGAATGGAAAGGCTGCAGCTCCTGGCCCGTTCCCCACTCACTGGGGGGGGGGGGGGCAAACCTCTCCTCTGCTCCTTTCTGGCAGCTGCACAATAAACAGTTTACAAATCTCAGCCCCCCCTCACCAAGGTGACGGATCTGCTTTCGCTGCATCGGGCTAAATACGGCAAGGAAACGCACTGTCCCTCACCCGTGCCCCCCCCGCTCCCCCGACACAGGCCCACATTCCCTCCATGCTGGTCTGGATTGGTGGGGGTCAGGTTGTACCTTTAATGGAGACTCTGACTGTGGGAGAGTCATTTTGACAGTGCCTTCTGTCCCACCTGCGTCTGGGATGCTGTCTGTCTGGGGTGGGCTCTTCCTGAGCTGTGGGCGGCTTTTCCGTGTGTAGAGCCCCCTCTCGTAAGTGCTAGGGGGTGCTTCCTCTCTCAATAATGTGGAGACGTGCTCCCTGTGATGGTTGTTGCAGACGTGAGTCGGGTCTCTTCTCGCGGTGCCGGCCTGACTGGGTCCACTGAGGCTACGGCTTGGTTCGTCCCGAGGGGCAATGGGTCCGCTCAGCAGGTCGACAGGGCCGAAAAGAGGGGGGGGGGGGGGGGGGGGGGGGGGGGGGGGGGGGGGGGGGGGGCAAATAACAACACTGGGAATG